CGAGAGACCCCAACAGCTCCCCGGAGACGGGAAATATCTGGATATCAGGAGCCATTAAGACATGGGTTTGGCAATGACATCAGTGTGTGTTTCTGTGTGAGTAAACACACAAACAGAAGTTACGTTTCAGCAGCAACTTGAGTTTTGTACCAGCTTGATTCTTTACTTTTTTTTTTTTTTTGGACTGAAATAAGACACAGTAAAAGTGGAACGAGCAAAACCATATAGGGGCAAAAGAGTCCTCCCATAGATTTATATTCAGAAAAGACATAAATTAGGAATTTAACCCCAAACTTGAAGCCACATGAAGTCAAGATTTTTACATGACTTGGTCCCTCATCAAGTTTTTGGTATGAGAACGCTAGAGCCTGTGGGACGCTTTCCCCATCCCACTCTTATTATTCATTCTCAGATGAACTATATGCATCAGGCCCATAACCACATGTGAGCAGATCTGTACTCTCAGCAGGGCTCAGGCGCCTTCTCTCCGTCCCAGACCGCCGCAGAGTAAGAGGTCCCCGAGGACAGCGGAGAAGCCAGGAAGTCCGATACGCGAGACATTCCAAGACTTCCCTTATGGAAGCAATTAACATGATGCCCTCTGTAGCAGCAGTGTAGGGAGGGTGGGTTATCACCGGCGTTAGGAAGTGACTCAGATCATCTGATAGCTAAAGTTATTGTTTGTGGAGGTGCAGAGAGATTTTGTTTGTTGCTGGTGTTAGGAGGAGGCTCTTTGACACATGCAAGAAGTCTTTGACTGCAAATTTAGCTAGAGTTGCTGAAAAAAAATGCCCATCACAATTTTCAAGAGCCCAAAGTCACATCACATGGCTTGTTTCGTCTGTCTCCAATCTTTGTGTACACTGCTGAGATAATGTAAAATCACAGTACATGGTATGCTGGTAATATGGCCACTAAATGGTTAAGAGCTTGCAGATCCATGAGTTCACACCTCTTTAAAACACACACACAAACACACACACACACCTATTCCACTTAAATGGCTTATCTTGACCAGGGTGGTGGAATGTCAGCTCTGTAAATATCAGTGGGAGCTGACTCCACTACAAGTCAAGGTCTGTTTTCAGTTTCCAGGAAGCTCAGAGGTGTTCACCCTAAACAATATCACATCACACCACAGCTGAGAGTGAACAGCCCGACTGACTCATCTCCATGTTTCTGCAGCCGCGGGCTTCGTTTAGCAGCTGTCAAGGACACACAGCTCAAACAGCACTAAGTGTTTCATTTACTGGAGGCTGTGGAAGACGCGCAGGGAGAGGTGGTGGACCAATACCTGAATTATCAATGCTACTGACACTGAGTCTTGTATTTAATGGAGACCTCAGTCCAAGTGAGATTGTTCTCTTTCTCTGCTTAGATCACGATCTGGGCACACAAACGCTTTTTCAGTGTGTTTGCTTCCATGTTGCTGCTCTTTAATATCTATTAAAACTGTCCAATGTTCAAACATGCACACGATTAAATCATTAACAGAGCATTATAGAAATAACAGCTTAATGTCTGGTCAATGATTTGGCGTAAACATGTTCAGACAAATCCCATAAATGATGCGTTCACCTAATAAAGGATAATAGACAACTCACATGATACATAAGCTGCTTTTAATAATATACACCAAAGGGGTATAAGTATTTGTTGTTTCACCACATGCCATCTCAAAACAGAATGAATGTCATGAAATAACTAAGTATGCATTATATTGGAGATGAAGATGGAGTGTGAGGTCACAGAGCAGAAATCTCAAGTCAGTAACAAACCACACATCTGTAACACATAGCATTAATGAGATTGTTGTTGCTGTTTGTTGAATGTTGTCCCACTCTGGACGAAGGGCTTGGATGAGTTGGTGTCTAACCCTAACCCTGTCTATGACATCTTCCTAGACCACAAATGGTGGAGTTGTGGACGTTCAAGTTCCTGGTTACAGAAATAACTGACATACCAGCATTCCAAAAGCCTGTTCTCATTTTTTTCTTGTCATCCGTGGCATCGTGTTATTTAACTAAAAGGTCGCCTCAAGGAGGCCTTTTATAGCCACTGCTCAAAGGAGTGTCTGTATGCTGGTCACACTATCTGATCATTGTCCTTTAAAACCACAGCTCACTAAGGTGGTCGAGAATTTGCCCAAAAACGTTTCGTGTACAGCTGACTAAATTTAGCCCTTTTCTTATCAGAACAACAGAAATTAGTACTTTTATTCTAGTCAGAAAGAGAACTTTGCATTGTATTTTTGCTTAGTGTTTATTGGTGATTCTGGATCTGGTCAATAACACAGAAATAGTTTATGAAAATACAGTTTAGGTGGAATGGTGGTACAGAGGTTGATGCTATTGACTCATAGCTAGAAGGTTCATGGTTTGAATCTGCTGGTTGGCTGAGGCCGTTCTGTGTGCAGTTTTCATGTTTTGCCTGTGTGGATTTTCTCCCACAATCCAAAGACATGCATTGTAGATTCATTGGTGGTTTTAAATTGGCAGTGAGTGTGAGCACACGTTGCTGTCTTTCTCTTTGTGTTAGCCCTGTGACGGAGTGGTGACCTGTCCAGGATTTACCCTGCATCTCGCCCACTGCAAGCCGGAATAGACTGCAGCTTCCTGCAATTTACAACAGGATAAAGCAGGTACAGCTAATGAATGGATGGAAATTACCAAATTATCCTGAGGGGGGCATGAATGTTTGGACCAAATCTGACTAAGTTCATCTAGCTGCTGTCAAAACATTTCACTCACAACCACAAATGTAAACTCAAAGGAAAACTCCAAGTATCAACAGAATTATTAGTGTACATCAATTAGGATCAATGAATGTCCTGATTGATTCATCCTAATAAGAGCCTAATAAATGAAGGAAAACTGTGACATGTCGATGGTGGTAGCAGAAAGGTCACTGAGGTTCATCCCCTGGCACCATGAATATCCGGCCACCCATTCAGTAGGTGCTGAGATGTTTCGGGGACTAACTGACGACCAACAGCGCCTTCCCTCGAGCCACGGTGTGAGCAAAACTACATAACTGAAGCCTTTAAATTGAATGTCACTGCTGAGTGCTAAGGAATTAGTTTTCCTACTAAATGCATGTTTGCTGGCATTTTGCCCAGAATCTGACTCCGTCAGATCAAAAGTCTGATCCAAACATGAACCTCTTCCAGCAAACATTCTTCAAGCCGCAAGCAGAAACATATCTGCTGCTTCAGTTTAGGATGAAGCAGCATAATGTTTGACTTCAAGGCGGTGGTTGCACAGAAGTATAATACTCCTACTCACAATTAAGCTATTACCTTGTTGAACTACATCAGTGGATATATGAAGCCAGATCCGAAAGAAGTTTGACCTGAGGGTGTAAAAGTATCTGCCATTACCGCTGCTCTTTGTGTAACCATACTGCCGCCTGTCATATGAGTCATGTCTGGGTCCGCAGTAATGACACAGAGTTGTTTTCTCACACGAGACCAGGCTGAAATCCATCCAAACAGTCAGTCACTCAGCGAGACGTCCCCTCATTCAGCTGGCGAGATATCGGGCCATTGAGACAGTCGGCCAGTTTGGCAAACAGCGTAATCCAGTCAGTCAGTTATGGATGTGTTTACCAGAGAGAGCAGCTCAGGTACTGACACGAAGCGGCAGCAGCAAACATCGGCCACCGCCGCATTCCCTGAACGTTAGCCAACCTTGTCAGTGTCAGGAAGGAATGCAGAGGAGTCAAACACCATCAGGCTGGAGGCACATGTAAAGAAAGAGGGAGGGGAAAGCCTCTCTACTTTCCTGGTGCTGTCACCCGGCTGTTGCTGTTGCCTCATTCGAGACAGCAGATGAAAAAAAAAAAAAAACAGGCAAAAACACGGGACACTGTGGTAACATTCAGCCTGTAAAACTAGAGCATCAAACATCCAGATCCACACCAAAAACATTTTACTTGCCCTGTTACTTTCAACTGAGTTTTATCAAAATCTGTTGAAGTGTCTCTTGAGGTCAGTCGGTCTTCAAACTAACAAACAGACAGACAGAGAGGAACACAAATCAACCCGGAGTACATTTAAAACACTAATTAAATAGTCGGTTTTCAAATGACTAAATGGAGCCACATGTGTTCATCAGCCTGGACTGAAAACTCTGGCTTTATCATGGCTTCACACGTGTTTGTATCATGGGGGGGCGGGGGACTACAGCTTTCAGTAATTCTCAGAGATTTTCAGTAAAGCACACTAAGCCTCTGCTCAATTACTTCATGGAAGCTGCAAAAAAAATTGGCAGCTGCACTCTTAACCACCGTTAACCTCTTTAAATCCTGCAGTCTTTAGCCAGTTTATGCTGCAAATCCCACTAATGTATGCTATTGTTTCTGTGTTTACAGCAGAAAGAGCCTCCGTCACTTGTTAAAGGAGCAATCAAAGTGACAGCACTGGTCAAAATGTGGAATTATACAGTGGATTTGTAAAGGAAGTTCCTCTTATGTGGACAACTTAGAGAGAAAATGGACCTGCAGATGCTGTATTTTTGCTGTTGTTTGGGTACGCACTGATATCGCTCAAATCATATCAGAAACTAAAAAACTATGGAGCAGATTGGCAGGTGTTTTTTGACTTATGGAATATTTAAACTAAGTCACTGCAGAGGGAAGCATAGAACTCAAAAACTAAAGACAAAACAAGACGGTTCCAGCCAGTAAACATGACGTGAAAGATACACAATAGACTTGTGTGTAGTTGCAGTTAAAAGCGACCGCGTGCACCATCAGACACCCCACCTGCTTTAATTACAACCCTCAGCTCTATTTAGTGCTTTGCTTTACGGAGCCAGACCCTCCCAGTTAACTGTCGGCTCTTTTAAGACCACAGCAGGACACGCGAAACCTCCACCTACAAGGCCATGAAAGATGCACCACCTTTGTTACAGAGACACAGACGTCAGTTTCACAAACATACGTGTTCTCTGAAACATGCACACGAACACCATGTCTCAGATATGTACACACAGCTGTACCTTGGCCGGTGGAGCGCCTCTTGCGGTGATGCCTCTTTCCGGTAAAGATGACACCGACTCTCTGAGCCCAGATCTGCTGGCTGCCCTCATCCGACACCCCGCAGCGGGGCTCGGCCATCTGCCGCAGGGTGGCGCTGTCCAGTTCCCCTGTGACAGGGAGACGGGACAGCCACTGGAACTCGCTGCAGAGAGAGGAAACGTTCACGTCTTCAATCACGCCAATAACGTATGAATCAGACTGTTGACGTAGGAAATTAAAGATTTGCAGTATGGTGGTGTTTGCACCATCAGGAAGCACTTCAAGTCTCTGTCAGATACTTAGACTGCAAATGGATTCAGGAGGTCTGTATATGCAGTGTGCAATATATATATATATATATTTATTTATATATATGTGAGTTCGTCAATGAACTTTAGTGTCATGATGCCATGTTTGGATGATCTGTGGTACAGTTTTTTAAAACAAAATAGGTGGAAGGACTCCAGAGGTTCACACTGTTTCAATTTATGAGTAATCTATCATTGTAATTTTGAAAATACAAACTTAAAACATGCTGAAGGTAGTCAAAGATAATTTGTTAGGTCACGATCCACAGTGACATTACATACATGGCTGGAGCCCCTGATCTCTACGTACTTTATTTATTCATGTCAGACATTGACTTACATCAGAGAAGTCTAGTTACAGTTTTTGACAAATTACATGAGCAGCCCAGAGTTTTCTAACCCTAAGACCAAGCACACAAAGCTTTTCAATCCATTACGGTACAATCAGTAAACGAGCCAGAGGGTGAGGTTCTTGAAATTCCTGGATGGTTCAGAGAAGGTTCACGAGAGGTTTCGCAGTGTAGAGGTGAGGGTGTGTTTTACTGCACCGACGTTCAGCCTCGAGGCTTGACACACATCAAGCTCACCCCCCCCCCAATGAACGCTCTGAACACAACCACCTAGCTCAGCTTCATTATATAAATATGTACCACTTTTCGTTTCCACATTACCCCAAAGAGGAAGCTTCCAAAGAGCTGTTGTCACCTACCGGATGGCTGACTGCACCTCGACCACATTGTGGATGTGGTGATCCTGGTGGAGGTAGCCATACTTCTCCAGAAAATCCTGCAAAAGGAATCATACTGTGTGTTAGAAAGCTCCAACTAAACATATAAACCAGACACAAAACTTCCAAATGCCTTTTAATAAAAATCTGATTGTGATTTCAATTTTGTTAAATCCATTTCTGGCCTGTTGATACCATCTAATATGTCTCTGGTAAATCCCCAGAGAGGCATAACTTCCCATGAGGCAAAAAAAAAAAAAAAACTCATAAAGTTGTGAAGATAGTTTCCCATTTTGACTATATCTGCTATAGGTTGCTGTATGTACCTGTGGACCACCCATACGACAAAGAAACCCCCGAGGTGTCCTTAAAAATCATAGTTTGTGAAGAATTTCATATATACATATATATGCAAGTCAAGAATCGTCCTGAAATTTCCCCAACCATAACATACTTTAAAAATGAACCAACAGCATGCAGGACAACAGCTGTTATATTGTGATTGTGGAGTTTAATATTATGATCCCTCAATCACAGGCCTTTATGTGCAAGTTTGCATGTTCCGACAACAGCAGGCACAGCTATGATTACAGATGTGGTGAAGTTGGGCTGGAAATTAAAATTGAGCTGATGACAGATGTGCTTCTGCAAATAGGAATGTTCAACAAAAATGTTCCTTTGTCCCATTAGAGATACTGAAAACGCCAGAAGGCTTTTTTTCTTCTTTTTTCTTTTTTATAGGTAAGAACAAGTTGAGAGAACACATGTACCAGCCTAATACTATATAAGGTCTCCCAGCTTTGAGGAAGAAAGTGTGCAGGGTGAGGATGGTGAGAAAAGACAGCTGTCAGATGAAACCAGTGCATTCTGAACCACAGAGAGACAATAAAACTGTAAAACGCAAAAACGTCCTTAGACATATGTTCTTTAGAGAAAAAAAAAACAAAAAAACAGGCTTTTGTCATTGTATGTCATATGCAGCTACACTGTTTTTAAAATAAATTAATGAATACTGTTACTTTAACAGAATTTTCCTTCTTTATTGTACTGATTTTTTTCAGTATTTTCAAAAAAACAAACACAACCATAAAAATACAAGAAAATAAAAAATGACAATAAATTTACGTGTATAATGTTAAAAAAAAAATCACATTTAGCTGTGAGTAACCATAAGATTTCCATTTTAATTTCAAAAATAGTTTAAATAAACTAGCCTCTTGAAGTTTATTACTCTAAATATATTTCTAAAATTAGATACAAATGGTGTCAATTAACAGAAAAATAAGCATGTATCTAAGAAAGTATCCATTTAATTAGCAATTTTACAGTTTTTACCCATGTAAATATAATGTAAAAACACATGATCTCATGTTTAGATTTTATTTTAAATTTTAGTGTACAACATGTGACTGACATGGAGCAACTGTATTTTACTGTAAAATTGTGTTTACAGTGAAATTCTACAACAAGCTTCAGAGAACTTTTTCTAACATCTGTATGTTACACATATGTCCAATATGTTTGAATAGATGATGGAGGAAATAAATACACATCTTATTCCTTTATATGAATGTATTTATTTAAGCAAGAAATCTATTTATTTTTAAGCTGGCCTTACGTACCTTTGTACATGCATGTTATTAAGTTGCACATGTGAAAAGTGACAAAGCACAGAAGTTAATATAAAGTAAAGAAAAATGAGACATTTCGTATTTACACTGTAAAATACCATAGAGGCATTTAGTCAAATCAACTTATTTTTTCTAGTTTATTTAACATAAAATATGTCTTTTTCTCATGTCAAATTTATTGAACGTCAAATTGGTATTTTAAGACCAATTTAGAACCAAAACTTGAGTTCTCATAATTTGAGACATGGTGACTTAAAATGATGAACTGAATGAACAGCT